CCAGGAACGGACTTCGTGCGGAACGTAGGTGGGTTAGTCAAGTATGAGTGCTGCATCTCCATGCACTTCTACCCAACTGTGACCGTCTAGTCGGTAAATGCCACATAGGCCGGTCCCAAGATTGACACTATAAATTTAGCCACCTCTCCATGATGCTCGCGTGCAGATTCGAGTGGTTGTAGGCATTGCCTTGCTTCATGATTTGAGTCACTATAGATGAGTAGGCCAATTATTACTACGTGGCTACGCAGCGTGTGATTGGGAGGCAACAGAAATCTGACTAAGTAGTGCAAGACAGCCATCTGCGCTAGTAGTCCGGGAACACCTTAAAAATAGTTCGGGCAAGGTTTGCAGGAACCACACATTTACAGAATTGTGCCAAATAGCACTAATTTTTTTCATAATATTTTGCAAAAAACACTAGTTGGCGGCTTTGGCCGTTTTAATGACGATTATGACAGATGGGTCCCATAAATGATGACGTGGCGTAACTGTTGACAGTTGACGGTTTTGACGGGAGATTTTTACAGATTTACAAAACAGTCCCTGTTCAAAATTGAAAAAAGCAGTCAGACCCAACACCCACCCCGTCGCCTGTCTCCTCGTCAGGTTCTCGAGGCGGTGGCTGCTTCGACCCGTCCCTGCTCCTCGGCGGAGAGTCCGGCCCTATACCAGCACCACCACCAAAAAGCCGACGACGTGGACGAGGTAGGCCGCTGACCGCGTCATGGTGGCAAAGCAGGACGTCGCCGGAGCAGCAGCCAGCGCCGAAGGGCCAGCCGCGACCAAGCTGCCGCAGGAGCCGAACACGGGCGCGACGGGCGGGAGCAGCGGCGCCGCCGGCCTCGACGGGCGTGAGCAGCAGCCGGCGCCGGAGGGCCAGCCGCGGCCAAGCTGCCGCGGGAGCCGAACACGGGCGCGGCGGGCGGGAGCAGCGGTGCTGCCGGCCTCGACGGGCGTGAGCAGCAGCCGGCGCCGGAGGGCCAGGCGCGGCCAAGCTGCCACGGGAGCCGGACACGGGCACAACGGGCGGGAGCAGCGGCGCCGCCGGCCTCGACGGGCGTGAGCAGCAGCCGGCACCGGAGGGCCAGCCGTGGCCAAGCTGCCGCAGGAGCCGAACACGGGCGCGACTGGACCCCGAGCGGCGGCGGGGGCACCCGGTCCGCCGGTGCCCATGGTACGTCCGCCTCCTCCTCCAGAGAAGAGAGACGAGGAGGGAGGGGCTTGATTACTTTTTAATTTTTCTAAAAAGGGTGTCGGTGTAAAATCCTCTGTCTAACGGAGATGCCTGTGAACCGTTAGGCCACGTCGGCAAAAGCGGGACCCATCTGTCATAATTGTCATTAAAACGACCAAAGCCGCCAACTAGTGTTTTTTGCAAAAAAAAAATAGAGAAAAAATTTGTGATTTTGGGCACAATTCCGTAAATGTGTGGTTCCTGTAAACCTTGCCTGAAATGTCGATATTTTTTGCAATTCACTCGCTATTTCTTGATGGCGACTGAGCAAAGAAGGTCACCAAGTCTCCATGCTGGCACTCTACCACTGATCAATAGAATGAAGCAAGAGCGACTCTCGGCAGCTTTGATCAAAGAAAGTGTCAAACACCCATGCATACACCCAGTCATTGTTGCACTTATACTCATGTTCCAAGTGCCTCCCACTTAGTGCCATTCCATGAACACTCCCTCCTACCCACAGTTAGGCTAAAACCTTGTTGCTTCTTCATCTGACCCAACCGTTACAGGAGATCTAAGATGGGAAAGCTTGATTTTTGTAGATGTAATTTTCAGAGTTGGACTTCCATGGAGGTTAGGGCTATATGTAAGTGCAAAGAGTGATTTCAGAAAAAATTGTATTCTCAATGATGGCTCAGACTGGAGTTCTTGTTTTCAACCAGATGTTTGCCGTGACACTCCCATTTATCATGTGAATACTCTAGTGCAATGAATGTCAAGTTGCTTAATCCTAATGTTACAATAGATGTTTAGACTAACAATAAAATAGAAAAAGGATGGCCACCACCCATATTGTGATGATTGCGGCCATGTAAATTGCTGCTTCTTATTTGTTTTTCTCCATAGAACATGGAATAAGAGTATAGTGTTTTCAAGTGTTGGGACACCTGCCCAAAAGTTGCAAACTATAATCTCAATAAATGGAAGAATACAACTGCGCGGTAATATCAGAGTGGTGGATCCGGGGTCGTGTGATGGAGTTCCTCCTCCGAGCCGCATCCTCGGAGCAGCACCACGTCGTTGACGGACAGATTCACCCACCAAAGCTATCACTTGTCCTGGTGTCGGATGACCTTATTGCAATCTGGTTTTGGATGCATCATCAGTGACGGGCTTGAGGACACATCGGTGACTTGTTCTCATTGCTCACCTTGATATTGGGCGTTTTACGCGTAAGTTTAGATAGTGAAGGCCCACTCCATGCAAATGTACTCTACATTAGATCAGGCAGTATCTACAGTTTTGGGATTTCCTCTGTGTTTCCATGTTCCTAGTGCCTCACATGCCTAGGCTCCTAGTATGTACTGCATCAACTTATTCTAACCATGTACATGTATGAGCCACACAACATCATCTCTGCATACACGCTTTTGCTCACTCGTTATCTTGCCTCCGTGACTTGTCGCAGCTTGAGCTGTATATCTGGGGTCACACTGTTGTACACATACCAATTATATGGGAGGAGCATGTTCTTAGCCAACTTTCATCGATTCAAATTCAATGACATGCATGGTGGTAAATAACCGGACTATTAACTAGCAGGTTGTCGAACCAATTCACGTTATGACAGTACAACCGACCGAGGCCTAGTAAATTAACAGCAAAAACATACCACATTATGGGCTACGATTACGGAAAACTACCACTTTCTTAATTTCCCAAAATGCTATCACTATTTTGGTTGGCTATTCCAAAAAACCCAAGTGACTGAATGGTTAAATTTTAATCATGATTATGACATGGAGAAATCACCTGTCAGTTCCAACATGTGCAGCGGTACGGCCCTGCACAATACGAATGTAGGACGTCTAATTTTACTTTTTTTACAAGAGAGCCTAAACTTTGATTTTAGAGGTACGAACCTACACAACAGGAATGTAAGATATCAAATTTTAACCAACTTTGAATTCCTGTCAGGTATATTGGGCAATAAAGATTGACCGAGAAACTCCAATATATGTGGAAAATGCATATTCCATAACATTTCGTTGGTGCTAGCTTATTAGTTTTAGCTCTAGTGTCAGTAGTTCAATAAGAATGTATATGTGAAGTCAACATAAAATATTTCTGAATGGATCAACACATCACGGTAGTTGTGAGACGAAAGAAATCTCATGCAATTTTTTGACAACTATTTTTGTGGAATGGGGAAAGGTGTGTAATTGTGACATTTTATTTACTTGGTTTTGGTGAACTTCCAACTATTCTCTCTTTCTCCACCCATCTCTCATTGAAAATATTGAACAGCCATATTTTTTTTGTCTTTTAAATTTCTGTAGATGAGCGAGATAAAAGATCTCTCTGTACCGTCCCCATATTGGAATTTGATGTTTCATGGCCCACAATTATTTATTATATAGATGCAATATGCCTGTTCATTATTTTCGGCATTCGACACACATGATTCAGTACAGTTTACACTCTAGAGCACTTCATAAGAGGCCTATACATACCTCAAAAGTTCAAGTTTGCATCAGACGGACAACCCATGTTAACAGCATTGTGTAAATCGAGTGTCACGCCTCGGGTTCCA